GTCCTGGGATCGAGTCCCGCATCGGGCTCCCTGTTCCTTGGGAGCCTGCTTCTCCCTCTGCTTCTCTCTCTCTGTCTTCTCATGAATAAATAAATAAAATCTTGAAAAAGAAAACAAGGGTGTATAAAATACAGATGTTTAAATTAATTAGAATGAGGTGGTTGTATAGAAGACAAAGGAAAATGACGAATAATGGGGTAATTAATACGTTAAAGTGACTTATAAATCCCTTTGCTGTGTTAATACTTGCAACAATGAGCAAGTATTCTTGATAATGATTCTTGACGGTGTTAGCATGTATACAAGCGTAAAAGACAAGAAAATACACGGGGAATCTTGAAACTTAAAAAAGTTATGAAAAGACTTAAGGTAAGTGGGAAAATAGTTTGACACTAAATTGTGATAGCTTAATAAATACTGTGATCTTTGGGGAGCAATTGAAACATTTTAACTAGGATGGTACCTCACTGCCATCCTATTGAATATGGAAAAGATTTGTTTGGCTGGAGTGGGACAATTATAATGGAGAGTATATTGAACAGCTCAAGCATGTCTAATAGACTCCTAAGTAACCTGGACAAGGGATGGATTTAGTAAGGCAACGACAAATAGAGAAGAAAAGCTGACAAATGAAAGTAAAGAGGCAGATTGAATCATTGAATTGGTGGAAGTAGCTACTGAAATTGTTTATATTTAGAAGTTTTATTTTACATACTGATGGTAATTTAAGGTTATGCAAAATTTACATAGGGAGGGAAGATACCAGAAGATAAGACATTCAGAAATATGTAAAAAGCAGACAAAAATAATCATAAATAGTATCTTAAGGGAGAAATCTTTAAGAATTGTGGAAAGAAATCTGTGTTTTGAATTTTTCTTTTTTATAAAAGTTATTGAGATACTTATTTAAGACTTTTTCAATTAAAGGGCCACCATCACGTGGGAGAGAAAATTATAGAGGTTCTTCGCGCAGAGAGCCAGTGTCTTCCCGGAGAGATGACTATATTTCACCAAGAGATGATGGTTACAATACCAAAGATAGGTAAAGGAAAACAAAGTATATAAACTGTTAAGTTATAGTGGATTTTTGTTTTTGTTGAAGTGAAATTCACTAACAAATATTTTAAAGTTAATAATTCAGTAACGGTACATTTACAGTGTTAAACAACTACTATCTTTATGTAGTACCAAAACATTGTTATCATCCACAGATAACCCTTAATGTTACCCCTACCTGCTTCCAGGGCCTCACAAACACCAATCTGTGTTCTCTCTCTGGATTTACCTATTCTGCATGGATTATACTAATGGAGTCAAACCATTGTAACGTTTTGTGTCTGGCTTCTTTAGCACAAATGTTTGCAAGAAACATGCATTGTAGCGTGAATTCTTACTATGGATTTTTTTATGTGTTTTTATATTCCTTTGTATATGCGATTAACAGTCTGGGATATTTCCACCATGTTATGTTGTGAACATTGATCTGCAAATATTTGAATACCTGTTTTCAGTTCTTTGGGGCATATACTTAGGTGTGGAATTTTTGGGTCCTATTGTAATTCTGTAATTTCTTAAGGAACCACCAGCTTTTCCCATAAGAACTGCACTATTACACATTTTTATTATCAGTGTACAGATTCTGATTTCTTTACATTACTAACATGTAATATTTTCTGTTTTTTTTTTTAATTATAGCCAATATAATAGGTGGGTGAAGCAGTGACTAGTTTGTGTTTTGATTTGAATTTTACCTGATGACTGATTGAGCATCTGTTCACGTATTTCTTGGCCATTTGTGTATCTTCTTTATAGAAAAGCGTATTCAAGTCTGCCTGTTGAAAAAAGACTTTTTATTGTCAGAGTTTTTTATATATATTCTGGATATAAGAAACTGCATTTTTAAAATTTGCTGCTTTATTTAAGTTATTCGAGCAGAGATTATCGAAGTTCCCGAGACACCAAGAACTATGCTCCACCATCTAGAGACTATGCATACCGTTACTATGGCCATTCAAGTTCTCGGGATGAACATTACTCTAGAGGATATAGGTACTATGAAAATTTAAATTTTTATCAAATAGCTGCTTACAATTCTTGTTACATTAATGCCTTTTTTTAAAATTTAGTGATCGTGATGGCTATGGTGGTGGTCGTGATAGAGATTATTCTGAACCTTCAAGTGGAGGCTCTTACAGAGAATCATATGAGAGTTATGGTAAGAGTTCGGTTGTTGGGCGCCTGGGTGGCTCAGTTGGTTAAGC